CCCAGCTGCCTGGCTGCTCCGCGGGAGCCCCGAATCCGTGCAGGCACCCCAGTGCACGCAGGGGGCTTTGTTGGGGCCGTTCGGGGGAGCACCGTGCTCTTTGCGCTCGGCCAGAAATTTCCCTAAAAACGTGTCGATTTCGCTCTTGCGATCCCGTAACGTGACGCAAGCTGCTGAGCCGTGATGGAGGGTGAGATGGCGCCTCCCTCCGTGGACGGCTGGGAAGGGTTTCAGGAAAAGGATGTCCACCCTTCGGACATTTCATCTGTATTTTAGGGTTAAGGCCTGAGCCGCGCCAATATCCTTTTGATTCTGAAATTTCGCTTCTGCTCAGGCAAACGGGCAGGTTTACTCTGTTGTCTGACGGGTGTTTTCGCCTGGGTCCTCGGTTGGTTGGGGCACGTCTGGTGTCGTAGGTCCCTAGAAAGTGGAGTTCTCCGAACAATCATCCCGAGAAAGGCCCTTTGGGACATCTTCCCGTTTCTTAAGTAGAAATGGACAAACGGAGGGTGCTCCTGAGACGTCCTAGGCGTTCACTTTGGGTGTTTGTTTTGTGTGGTCTTACCTGGGACCGCGTTTTATTGATTTGTTTTTCACTCTTGAAACTGTTCTGGAAATCAATTGAAGCGCGGTACGAACTGCTCAGATCAGTTCGTGGCGGAATATGCCAGACTGGTGGTCCTAGAATGACTCCCCTGCCCCCCCCTTTTCAGATTGTTGCCCGCGTTTTTGTATTTCTTCGTTGGTGTGCTTGCTTAGCAGCTTGTTTTCCTTGTAAACGGACTGGCTCGCTTGAACTATCGTGCGATGGACATGGGCACATTGTCGGTGTAGACGGTTCATCACTACAGCACCCGGTTGATTGCTTTGATGTGCTTTGCTGACTCGCCTTTGCCTTCAAATGCCCACGTTTCTCCTGAGCCTCATAGTTGACCACATCTACCTCGAGGACTGCAAGCTTTGTTTACCGCCCCCCTTCGCCCTCCACCTGCGTTCTGTGCTTGTTGTCGATGACGTTGTACACGAGGCAGGTGATGTAGCGAATGCAAGGATTTTATTGACTCTTACCAAGAGTTTTGCACAACAATTCCCTTTTGCTCAGGGCCCTCACTCTCTCATGTCTCCAACCTGCTGGAAGCAACAGGCTCCTTTGTTGCAACAGCATTGGTGGTTGCTGCTGCTACAGCCTCGTAGCAGCCCCCAAAGCCCCACGCCCTGGGACGCAGGATTCCCAGAAACCTCGAGCTCACGGCCCCATTGCATTTCTGTTTTCAAGTCAGTGGACAGGCAGCCACAGGCCGCCCTGGAGCCCTTTCGACGGGCGGCCAGCCTGTACCTTTCCATCCCCGGGGCTCTTTGCAGGCCTTACCCCTGCCCCGGGGCCACCTCCGGGAGCCTCCCGGGGCCCCGGTGTGGGGCAGGTGCGCGGGCCCC